CAATTTTTTGTGGAGCATTTAAAAATGATTGAGGATAATAGCAGTGGGTTTTTGTTTATCAAGGAAAGCAAATATTCAGGCATCTTAATCACAAAGTATGAGATCTTGAAATCTCATTGAAACAATCAGCAAGATTCCCATTGGCCTTAATGGAGCTGGGATTTCATCCAACTGGTCAACTATAGGAGACTCAAATAAGGGAAAAATAATAACCAATGCATTTTAGAAACTGATTTGTTTTTCTCTCTTAATATGCAGACCTGTTATTTTCACTCCAAATGTTAATTCTGAGACTACCTCAGACCAAAAAGGAAGATTCTTGTATCCTTTTGAGATGCTAGGAGTATTTCCAGTGGGGAAAAAGTTATCACTGAGAGGTGTCTGTCTCCATCTGTCTATTATAGTAGGTTTAATAGGTAGGGTGGAGTTTTCTCCATCCACTGGGGAAGGCTGTCACATGATGCAGACTGCCAAGGCTCTTGTCACTGGATCTGTGATCTTTCACTTTTCCTGAGAAGTTGTTCCTAGCCACCTAGAAGTGAAGTAAGAATTTGATCACTGCTGAAGATGGCTGGAAATCACACCCATGCTGCATGTGTACATGCAATGAAAATGTTAATAATAATAATAATAATAAAAATAAAAAAGCTGTTCAGTGTTCCTGAGAGTTTAAAATAAAAATATTTGCCCAAATGAGACTCAACACTTTCAAAGAATGGTTTCCTTTCTGTTTCAGTTCTTCATCTTTCACAGACCTCTGTTGTATCCAGTATCTGCCATTTTGAAATCTGTGACTTGTCCTAATTGGGCCATTTCCTATGTATTGACTTTGAAGCACATACTGTGACAGTATTAAAACAGAAAATCATAGAATCATGGAATGATTTGAATTTGAAGGGACCTTAAAATAATGTAGTTCCAAAACCCCTGTCATGAATAGCGAGACTTTTCACTAGACTGGATTGCTGCTACCTGCTGGGATGAACTAAGTGGGATGGAGCCTCTGTCCCTGTGTGTCTCTGCTGCTCGACATTGTAAGCAAGGCAATGAAATAAATGCAGTCTTTGCATTTGTGGTTTGATGGCTGCCTTTGGTTTCCTGTATGTGTCGATTTGCTCACCATTTGACCTGGTCTTGAACACTTTCAGGAATGGGGAGTCCATCACTTCTCCAGACAACTTGTTCCAGTGCCTCACCATCCTCAAAGGAAAGCATTTTTTTCTAATATCTAACCTAAGCTTCCCTCTTTCAGTTTTAAAGCCATTCCCCTTTGTCCTATCACTTCTTACCCTTGTAAAAACTTATCTAAAATTGTGAAACTCCTGACCTCCTTAAAACATTCTTGCATTGTTTTCCTGGATTTGAAGTACAAAATATGAGGAAAAACCAAAGAAGGAACAGTTATTCTATTTACCGTCAAGAGTGTTCAAAATGTTTTTCCTAGTAAGTTTCTGTCTAGAGTTTAAGCAGGAGGTTACGCTAGACAAGAACGTACATCTTTGCCATGTTGAGCAGACACTAAAAGCAAAGATTAAATGGAAAACACATCTTTATATTAATTATAGATGGCTAGCGTTTCTCAGGACCTGAGGGAAATAAACAAAACTTCTCAGCTCCTAGGAGTTTGGACTGTACTGCTTTAAATCAGTAAATGTGGACAATTTACATGCCTAGCATGCCACATATCAGCATGAAAACATTTGTCAGAAACTGATGAATGAAACAAGAAGAATAATGAAGAAAAATGACAATATACAAACCGTCCAGAGAGCAAAATAAACAATGTAAGTGTTTGGTAAATAAATCCCTGCAGAACTCTTAGAAATGAGTCACTGATTAATTGAATCAATCCATCAACCTTTTGTGATTACATCAATATGCAATCCCTTTGATGTTTGTTCTTCTTCCATAGCTACTGTTTTAAATGCCTTTAAAATGTAAGATAAGATATAATATGTCCATATGGAGCTACCATAAATTAATTGGATATCCTAGTAAGATACAATTGGCTGATTCTTTTACTTAATTCTTATATGTAATGCTGTAAATAACCATATCACCTTCTCCTTTTTCTGAATTTTTTTTGTCACCCACTTTTTGACTAACTGAAATTTAATAGCAGGGTGGGACTGTGAGATCAAATTTTTATTTTTTTCCTAATTGAAATGTTCTCATTAACTTACTTGATTTATCACATAAACCTTTTGTAGAAAGGACTGTCTTATTTACTCTATTCATAGATTGCACCATGCTTGTACATTCAGTAATTATCAGAAATAATAATTTTTCAGTACCAAATGCCTCTCTCTAAAATAAACACTTAGGACTTTGAATGTTTTGAGAGGAGGAATAGGAAAAACTAAGCAGAAAAGGAGACAGACTGTGTGTGGTTATGTATCTCCATCATAAAACACAGCCATGTAACAGGTATGTGTATGTGTGTGTGTATGTGTGACTGAGTGAACCAAGCCAACATTTAGCACAAATGCACACAGATGCATCAATATGGAGAACCCTCTGCAAATTAAAGAAATGGCACATACTTACAAGCTCTCCTAGGAACAAAATATTCACCTGCATGCATAGAAATCAACTATCTAAATGTTAGCAAGGGGAAAAAACGCAATCCTGAGAAAATTCTTGAAGAAAATGAAATGTGAATCTAATCCAGCAAATGTGTTCACAAACATTTTTTATCAATTTCTTCTAATTCACCTGTGCCTTTTGTGGCTCTGGATATTTATGACTTTCTGTGTACTCAGTGAGCTATAGCTTTAGCAAATGGAATTGCACATGTGCTAATGATTCCTACCAGGGCTTGCTCTGTCTCATGGCTTCTGTAGTGCTGCCAACCTTTACTATTCTGTTAAATGTCTCCCTGTCTGGGGCTTTTTGAGAATGTACATGACTTTGTGCTTCCTCTTTTTGTCCTTTTGCACATGTCCTCAGTGACACTATCCTCCACAACTGCCACTGCCACCTTTATGTGAGTTGGAAACAATGGGCGTGACAAATAGCAGTATGTATTTTGGGAGGATATGTGGGATTGTGCTCAGGAAGAGACAGTGAGAATGGGACAAGAAGATGGCGACAGAGAGAGAGAAATCAACTAGGTGTGAAACATCTGTGTGGCAGAACTGGAGATTGTTGGAGAGCACATGCTGAATGTGAACATGCTTCTTCACCTTAAGCTCCCCATAACCTATTTCCCATCAGGACAAAGGCAAGGCTGGGAAAATGATAAGGTACCAGATGGCAATAAAGACCCTTTTTCATTAATGGATGGAGAAGCATGGCTTTTGTAGAGATTTAATTTTGAATCAGAGATGACCACAAGCATTATCTATTTTTTATTTCTCATGTTTCATAGTGTTTTTATCTACCCAAATTAATAATCCCAAGGCATTTGGAAGTCCCAAGAGCTAAGTCTTCTACTCAACAGAGAGTAGAAAAATTGGTGTTTTTGTTGGATTTTTAATTAAAAAACATCTTTTGTGATCTTGGCAGGATTTTGGAAGACACCTGTAAAAGACATAATCTTTTTCAATTGGTTTCTGAGAGACAAAGGAAAAGTGCATTTTTAAAAGACCCTTCTTCTGTACATATGGAGAGAGCTGTGCAACAAATGTATGTATGGTGCTACTTAGAACTTCATATTTGGTACAGTATCTTCCTAAACCACTCAGCTATGCCAAGGTCTCACCTTTAACTAGCTGTAATTGCTTCTCTTGTTGAAGGTCTGAACAGAGGGACTTGTCAGGACGTGAGATCAAACAGAGCTGATTTCTCCAGTCCGTGTCAAGAGATGAAGCATATTGGTGACTACAGGAGGAAAATCTCTTTTACTGATTGATTCTGTGCTGTGCCACTCCTGTATGTGAATGAGTAATTGCAGTCTAAGGGGAAGTTTCTTTCATGCATTGTAATTGCATTTAATACTGTACATAGCTTGAAGTGGACCAATTAGCTTAACAACTGTCTTCATCTTTCTCCTATGTATGGTGCTACTTAGAACTTCATATTTGGTACAGTATCTTCCTAAACCACTCAGCTATGCCAAGGTCTCACCTTTAACTAGCTGTAATTGTTTCTCTTGTTGAAGGTCTGAACAGAGGGACTTGTCAGGACGTGAGATCAAACAGAGTTGATTTCTCCAGTCCGTGTCAGGAGATGAAGCATATTGGTGACTACAGGAGGAAAATCTCTTTTACTGATTGATTCTGTGCTGTGCCACTCCTGTATGTGAATGAGTAATTGCAGTCTAAGGGGAAGTTTCTTTCATGCATTGTAATAGCTTGAAGCGGACCAAGTAGCTTAACAACTGTCTTCATCTTTCTCTAAGGAGCAGTGGACACAGTGCTGTCTGCAGTATTGCTGTGCATTGGTTCTTCAACAACACCTGGCTTACCTTTAGTGTCTGCTGTCAATCCAAATGTACTGGGAAGAAGCCAGATTCGGAATAGCTGGAAAACAAACTCAAGAAGTCCATCACTTTCTTCTCAGCTATTCATTGGTACACAGTCCAATGAATATACAAGCAATATGTATACATAGACTATTAACTAGGCTTCCCATCTTTGTGAGAAAAGTCCTCCTCCTCTTAGTATTTGCATTTAAAAATAAAACAGAGGGCTGGAAATTAAAATATTACAAGGTGGAGTGATTCACAGAGTGTGAAGTTTTGCTTTGTATACCACCAATGTGCTCAAATGGAAGGTGAGTATGCAAGCCATGAAAGACTTCAGACACTGAGTTAATGGCCATTCCTATCTGGAGACATCCAGCAATCAATACATAACTATGCCAGACTTTGTCAAAATGCTGTGCAGCAGTGGAGTATTGTACAGTACTTAGATTAAGCAAGTGGAGCACAAACCATCTCTACTTACCTGACTGAAAAATATCACTTGCACTCTTATGAAGACTAAAAAATCCTAACAAAATAACTCTCTTTCTAAGGAGTCATCCTAAGAGAGCATGACCGAGTATCTCAAAATGTATATCATTCTGCTCCACCTTTATTAAATGACCTCAGGCAAGCTGTCAACATATGTGAGCTCTATAAACATTTTGCCTAAGACAGGATTCCATCATCTCAGTGTAGGGACAATAAATAGCATATAAAAGAATATGAATGCAGAGGAAATATCCATGTTACTTAGCTTCTTCTTAACAAGTATTTTTGCAATACTTAACAGTGTTGGCAACTCTATACCTATCATGGGCTTAAAATTCCTGATGAGTGGGCAAAACCAGCCCTGTTTTCTAAGTAAAGAGTCTGTTGCAGTCAGCCTTGTAAAAGAAACCTTTTAGTGTCAGTGATAATGAAAATACCTGGTACATATGACAGCATTAAAATGGTGTCATGACCCGGCAATTTCTATTCAGTGCTGTCACATCCATGCACTGCACAGATCGGGATTGTCATCATGTAAATGTAATAGGATTCTTTATCCTGTATTGTTGCTCAGCTGGGAAGAGTAATTCTGAGTTTCCTGTAAGTTCTGAATAGCAGCAGGGGGCCATGAATAGCTTGGAAACCTATATTTTTTCCATTTATTTTTTTTTAAAATGCAAATTACACTAGTAAGTCAAAAAAATCACTTTTGTTAAAAATACATTCAGAATTAACAAATGCCAAAAAGAAAAGAAAAAAAGACACATTTGGATTGTATCTCTTGCCTTCTGAATATTTTAGTTTATAACAAAAGCCCAGCCTAGAAAAATAACATTCTTTACTGGATTTTGAGGAGGATACAGCTGTACAAATCAAAAATGCCATCCAGATATTCTCACATTACTGCGCTCTAAACTGCTTCCAGAAGAGATCTGTCCACTAATCATTTAGTTGAGTAGTCAACCATCCTAATTTTTTAAATGGTGATGCTCTAACTTCAACTTAAGCAGGGTTATGAATACCAACTTCATATAGGTATGTATGTGTATATATATATATATATATATATATATATATATATACTGTGTGTATGTGAGTGTGTGTATCTACTCTATATGTAATATATGAATACACATTTATATTGCAATCCGTAGTAGTTAGATGTGCTTCCTATTTCCTAAGCATTTTACAAACATTAACAATTCAGACCTCACAAAAAGCTTGTGAGGCACATATAATTCCCGTATTATGGATGGGAAGACTAAGACACAGAGAAATTAAGGCCAAAATTTTCTAATTTAAAATCAGGCCTATAAGCTACGTGTAGACACTTCATTAAATCGTCTGACTTCTAAAATTGCTAACTACCAGTAGCTGCTGTTCCATGGGAAATCATTGAAAGGTATGAAAAATTATCTTCTGAAAATTGGATTGCTGCTTAGGTGCCTAAACTGGTTTCTTTTCATGTTAAAAATGATTTCTATAGAAATATCATTTTGATTAACTGGTATACAGGGAAAGATAAAATAACCTGTTATGACATTTTCATCCCATTTAAACCTCTTCATTGTGTTTAATACTGTATATATGCTATATTTAATACTACATGAAAGAAGAAACTTTTTTAGTTTTTCAAGTTATGGGAAATTTCAGCCTGTCACTTGGAAATTGCATGGAGTTTCCAGGGGGTGAAAAGCATAAAAGCATCTCTACCCAGCAGGAACTCATACTTTCAGGTACTCAAGTATGAAAATTTAAATTTGAGATCCAAATCAGCAATGAATGCTTTACAGGATCAGGCCTAGAGGACATTCATATTTCATGCATGAAATTCCCAGCAGTATCTGAGACGGGACCCTTGGTCCACTGCATCAGAATCTTCCTGGGTGATGCAGCCCCCAAAAATAGTCCTGTGTATTTTATATAAATAGACATACACACACCTTCACACACTTACATATATATATATCTATCTATATCTATATAAATCTCACTGAATCAATGTAGGTATAGTTCCTGAACATGTCCCGTATCTTGTTTTCACTGGTGAATGCCTGTTCCTCTGTCATTGTCCAGAGTTGTTGTTTGTGACACTGTACATCCATGCAGACACAGCAAAGGGCACTGGCTTGTACAGGGTTGGGTGAGTGGTGTGAGCACACAGGCCTCTGGAGCAGGGTTTAGCCAGCAGGGAAAAGGGAATTGCCCAGGGGTGCCTTGAGCATTTCCAAGCGCTGACCTTCCCTCTTGCCCTCAAAAGCTACGTGGTCACCTCAGGTGTGGTAGGTGCGTGCGTTTGTCTATGCAAGGTCTGAGCAAAGAAACAATGACAATCCAAGTTTCTGAAAAACCTGAGCAAAATATTGGGTTTTCCTAGTGAAAGCCATCTACGTTCTTGAAAATACAGATCAGATGTAGAATAAAACATATGTTCCTAGGAGTTCAGAGTATTTCATATACACATTGACCTACTAGCAAAATTCCCAAAGGCATCTTGTTGCCAACTACGTAACAGCACAGAGGTTTTTTCAGCCACAATAATACAGGAAGATAAAATACACGTTCTAACACACAACAGATCCCCCAAATATACCACAAAAAGGTCTTCAGTATTTCTTCAACTCAACTAGTCCCTCCCTGCCCTCTCCAACCAAAATCAAGAAATAAAATATGTGGATCCCTTATGGTGCAATTAGAAAAAAAAAAAGCTCACTTACAGAGAACTTTTAGTTGAAATCAGATATAAAAGAGTAAACATAGCTAGTACATATTCAGTTGGCCTTTGTTCATAGAAATCTGCAGATGTCTCTGTAGTTAGTAAAAGATGTTTAGAGATAGCTATAAAAGCACCTACAGTGCGATAAATAAAACCAGCGGGATTAAGAAGCACAGTTTCTGCTGCTTATTTCCAGTAGGTTCAATTATTAGTTTCTGTTACCCCTTTCCCCTCCCTGACCCCCAAAAGATCTCATTTATTTCTTTATTTATTTTTCTTTTTAATCATTATAAACTGTTTCTTGACCACTGTGGAGCCCCAAAAGTAAAGCACTTATCAGACAGCTGGCAGTTTTCTACTTGGTTGCTCTGGAGCCATGGACCAACAGAGCCTTATTCCCTGACATGAAAACAAAGCAAAACCAAACAGAAGAAAACCACTGACTTAGAAATCGTTCAGAATTAACAGCAGCATGTTAACTTCAGAAAGCTTGCACGTAGTTTCTCTAATGTGCAACGCAGTTGGGTTAAGGCAAGTATGAACTGTACAGCCTTCAGGGCAAACAATGCGCTGTCTATTGACTTCTGCTGCAAGGTCATCCTGGTATTTCAGTGTTGTGTTGGCTGAGGAGACTCAACACGGCCCAGAGTGTGGAGGAGGCTCCCACAGCACTGAGTGGGCTGGGTTCATGTCTTAATCCAGGTGGGCCGTAATGGCGGTGGCCAGGGAAAGAAAGGGACAAAAGGTGGCTGCAATGCCTCTGCTGTGTCCCTCTGCTGCTGAGAGGCAGGAGGTTCAAGGAGGAGGTCTGGGGCATCTCCTTTAGTACCTGTTAGAAAGAGAGACTGAAGGTCTCTGTTGTTTTCTGTCTCACTGTTCAATCAGCTTTTATACATTATTTTTAGCACAAAATTGGATTTCTTTTCTCTTTGAAGAACCAGGAGGCCATCCTGAAAGGGATTTTTGAACAGGTCCTCCAGCCCACCTTGAGTAGTCCCCATGTTTACTTTGACCTAGAAGAAAGACAGAGAAAGAACAATACTTATAATCCAATGTATACTTTTCTGATCCCTGCTCTGCTGCTCTGGTGCCCTTTTGCAAGCAAGTGTAATCCACAAACCAGTAACAATTCAGATACGCATGGGATGAAGAGGACAGAAAGACATAACTGTCTGGCTCTCTCTGGAACATTGCAAGAGAAGTCAGCACAGGTTTTCTAAACAATCTTAGGCAGGAGTTATATTTAATTATAATTTTAATTGTATGTCCATGGGTCAACTGGAATATGACCTGATTTATAAAATCCATCAGATACACAGCTGTCTTTGTAAAACCAAGAAGTGACATAGCATGAGGACAGAAGGGCTGGATTGCAGGTGCAGGGGAAAGCCACCCATGGCTCACTCACAAAGCAGAGACCCTGTGCAAGTGCCACAGCCTGGCCACCTCAACAGTGTTTCCCCAAACCCATATTTTGTAACTAAAGCTTTCAGTCTAAAATGGACAAGATTTTGTTTGTTGATAGTGAAAGCTTAGGTAGTAGAGTGAAAGCTTAGGTAGTAGGTTATTTAAGTGTGTCTGAATTCCAAAACATGAGGAGATAATTACACAGAAAATTTGTAGTGCATGAATTTGTGGAGTGTCATGGTGGTTATACTCAAGGTGCTAGTTTTAGTGTCTTTTTTTGGTGTTTCATTTATACTTTAAGTGAATGGTGAAGTAGGTAGGACTTTCAGTAGGTGCAATTATCTAGACAAATTCCTATATGTGTGTGTGTGCATGAGAGTACAGAAACTGCAAATATTCTTAGGCTTCACAATAGGAGGAAAGCATGCTTCACTTCAGGGCTGCACTGCTTTTGAGCAATTTCTCCAGTGCATTAGGCATCAACATCAGACATGCATGGGTTTTTTTTTGCTTCATTTCTTCTTTTCTCGAACAAACAAGTTTAGGGTGAAGAACATAAAGAAAGATCTCTCTCCCCTCCCTCCTTCCTACTGTTTTTAGAACAGTGATCATGCAGTGCAGTCTTGTTCCACAACTACCACTGTTTTTTTTCATGTGCAGCAGAATCAGTGTCAGGGAGTGTTTAGTCACCTTCCTTCGTCACCTCCCAAGAGGAGAATTTTGTCTTGACAATTGATTTCCGCCATCTTATTGTGTCCTTCTGCCATGGTCTGGAAATGAGCACTGGCATCTCCGGCACAGAATGCCAGGAAGCTGCTTTTGAGTACATCAGCTGTGGCCACACTGCAAGGAGGTACATGAGCATCGGATCTGTCCCGTTCTGTTCAAAAAGCGTATTCGTTTTGAAGGGACTGTCTAGGCTTCTTGGCTTGTACAGCATAGAGCACACTGTTGGCACTTAAATAATAAAAAAATCCCATTTATAACAGGTAGAGAAATGTCACCATAAGAATTCTTCCCCAAAGCATCAGCGTTTTATTTATTTAAATTGCATATATTTTTCACTTTAAAAAGCAAACTGATTTAAATTAAATATTAAGTTGGAAGAGGTGATAAAGAAAAACTGTGGTTGAAATTTAAAGCCTAAAACATAGAGAAAAAAAACTTCAATGTGAACCTGAATCTAATAATTCTAGACTATTAAAGGTAAGAGTAGCCAGAGATAGTGTCTTCAATTAACTACCTAAAGATAATATTTTTTTTTCAGAAACCAAGGTTTTTCTTTTCCTTAGATATCCTGTTCATTTAGGGTAGTCTTTCATAACTGATGAAACACTGCACAAGAGGACTATGGGTGTTTAAACTGAATTAGAATGTTCTTAAAAGTAGAGCTTGATTGATGAAAATCACAAATAAAAAGTAATAAATCTTTAGATGAAATGGTCCTGACACAATAGAAATATAAATATGAGAAGCCTGAATAAATCAATATAATTTGCACATGTAAGTTGGTGTAGGTTCAATATAACCTCCACATTAACAAAATGAAGTCCTAAGTTTAGCACGCGGGAAGAAACTGGTTACAAAACTATGTCTTAACAGTTAGTAATTAATAAACCCACCATTCCTTCAAAAGAATAGCTAAATAGTGCATGTATAAAGGAGATAAAATTGATTTCTATCACTTGGATGAAAAACTGTCTGCCTTCCAAAGAAATAAGTTTCTGTTGATGGACTTCTGTCATTGCAATCCACTAAATCAATTCACATCAGCAAGCAGTACCTGGATAATGATTGAGGCTGAACACAAAACTCTGTATGTGTTTAAGATTTGTACTAGTCCTGTGTATGAATCAATCTGGTAAACATATAGAGGCTTCTCTGTTCTGTATTGCTGAGCTACGTGTTGAAATTTGTATTTTGAAAGAATCTGAACCATTAGAAGCTGATATTGTATTGGTGAGCTCTTCAAAGAGGAGGCCATATGCTCTCCTTCCATTTTGCAGCATGTCCAGCACACCACAGCACAGAGAAAAAACTGATGCTGTGCCTCTGCATATAATTAGCAATCAGATGATTTAAAGGCACCTGTCCCGTGTTCAATTTCTCTAATAAATCCAGAGCTCCATAAGAGATGTGCCCAGTGTGAATCTGAACAGGACAGGATGCAGTGGTGGCAAAAAGTGATCTCTGTCTTTTCTTGATCTTCTTGATCTTGCAGGAATTAGATGGGATGATAATATGTCGACCATATATTATGCTCAATATATCTTCTGTTGCCTATGAATTCAAAGACATTTTATAGCAAATGATAAAATTATGGAAATAGTTATATGAATACAGATATATAATGACATGTATGGGTATAGTTGTATCCTGGATGGATATGATTACGTCTTGGAAAGTGGTGAGAGCATGGCAAGGGACTACGTCAAGCAGATCTCCTCTCCTCTCCTCTCCTCTCCTCTCCTCTCCTCTCCTCTCCTCGTTGTGTTTTTTCTTTCCTTCATTGACATTGGTGATATTGGGGGAACAAGCTCTGTAGGGAACCAAATCTTTCCTCCCAGCAAATAAAGCTTTAAAATACCAAGTATGGCCTGATGTTATCATACCAGCATGTTTTGATTTCTAATACATAATATTGCTGTAAATAGTGCTACAAGCAGATCAAACCTTGACTTGATTAACTTGACATTCGAATTTGTCACTCCGCTACCTAATGGACTGCCTACATTTACAGAGCAACTGCAATGTGAATACATATGCATGTGTTCCTCAGCTGTAAATAAAGAAAGCTATTACTAAATGCTGTAAAAGCTTCTTAAGGACAGATTGTAGCAATCCTCGAGAGCCCTGTCAAACACTATACAGTCAGAGGGAAACATGAAGTGTCTTTATTTGACTGTGGCTGGGACATGGCAATACTTTTGTGGGTTGATTGGACAAAATGTCCACTCACATTCTGATTTCTGTCTCTTGGTTAAGACAGCTAAATCACCTATACTCCAGTGAGCATGCAGCATTGAAATAAGAGAGAACACTGCTTACATGGATTGATCATCTATCTCTTCATCTAAGCTTAATATAGAATATATATTAATATAGAAATATCTACAGGCTTAAAACTATTGCCCTCTTTTTTTTTTTTTTCTTTTTTCACAGGTCTAGCTTTCTTTCCAGTCAGTATGAAGATGCATAGTAAATGCAATCTGCTGCTCTGGAAGAAACACTGAGAGCATAAAGAGAATGGGATAATAGCTAGAGGGCTCCATATGTTGATGACAAGGTATGGTATAATGAGAAAGAGATAGGATTAGAATTGTTCTAAGTACCTATGTACCTGCTATAATACTATGAAGGAAATAACATTTTCTAAATGTGCAGCACTGTGCCAAAAGTGCAGGTGAAAAATATTTACTTGAGCACAGACAGATGGGAAGCTGAAGTTAAGACGACATTGGAGATATGCACTATTGTAATTTGAGATTATTAAAAAGCTGCTAGCAAAGCTCCTGAAGGGCCCAGTTCCAAACACCAGCACAGAACAGATTGTACCCCTGATAAAGTAAATGCAAGATTCCATGCAAAAATACACTAATCCATTAGAAGACTTACTTCCACTAATCAGAAGAAATTAAATTGCATTCAAAGCTGAGTAGAATTGTGTGTTGGGATGGCTACTGTTTGCTTGAACTTAGTGCTTTTCCACAAAAGAAATGTTCAGAAGAGAAACAAAAAAAAAAGACATAACTGTTGCCCCTTTATGAAGTGTGTGGTGCTGTGTTTTTAGTGTGTAGGGCATTGATGGCAAATAAAATACATTTCTAAAGTCTGCAGCAGTGAGGTAAGATTTATCTGGGCATTCAGGACTGTTCTGCATTTCTGTTGACATCAGTACAAAATATTTGGAGACAATTATTCCTGGGCTGGTCTATGGCTGTGTGTCAGCTCTACACAGTTGTGTGTATGAGCTGAGATTTGTTTATCCATTTAATTCCCAAATACATCAGACTGCACTCTAAGATGGAGTTGTCACTCAGTGGTTAGGTAAAATACTGTCTTCTATTTGAACTAGTTTTAAAAACCATATGTTGTTACATTTGTTTTGTCTTTTTAAATGTGGGAACTGGAAATGAGGTACAGAGGTGCCTTGGTGAACAGATGCTCTGGTAAGACAAATGCTAAATGCATCCACTAAATTAGCAAGTTGCTGAACTTTTGATGAAACTTCATAAAATCCACTTTTTTCACAGCCAAGGTTTGTCATATATGATTAGTGTTTTTCTACACTAAATTGTCACTGTCTCTGAGTGGAACCTCCTTGAGTGAAAATAGGGAAATATCAAGTGAGAGTTGGATGTTGTTTGAACAACTGTGACACATGATATCCTGCCCTAAGAAATCATTATAATTCAACACAAGAGTAATGTTGGTGCTTAAGTGTAACTTGAATTCAGTCCATCAAAAGAGGCTTCTGCCTAGTCTGAATTTTTAAGTTATACCATCTTTCAGCTTAATGATCCCTTAATATCAGGCTGCCACTCTGCCAAATATCCTAGAAGTACTTACATATACATGGGCTGCAGCTGTAAATGAGATGTCTTCTGTGGACCTTGATAGCCGTAAGAGTCAAATCCACCTATGAAATCAACTGAAAGGGGAGAAATTGCTTTCATTAGCAAACACCTTTTCAGAACTGATAGGCACTATCATTCAAGAACCACCCAGTACACAGATTATTTTTGACAGGTCCTCTAATATCTGTTAATATTAGACCAGCTAATTGAGAAGATACAGAAAAACAGTAAAAAAGTAAACAAAGGCTAAGTACCCTTTTTTTCTCCTTTACTTTTAAAATCCATTCAATTTTAAAACCACATAAAACCAGCAAAAGATTTAACACAACCATCTTTCCACCAGAAATAACCACACATGCCTTTTTTTCAAGTAGACCACCTCACTAATACAAAACAACATGCTATTTAGATGTTACAAATGCTGAAAACCATTTATTTATTGGCATGAATGCATTGCTTCTGACTGTGATTACTGTGGCTGGCTTGCTGTCATACCATGGCTCAGTAGAGGATGTAGAGGAAGGAGTACATTGATCCAACTCTGTCTGAGAGACAGCAGTTTCTCTGATTCCCTGTTTTGACATTTGGGTTGAAATGCATGAACAGAGAGTTGGAACAATTTATCTGAGCTTCAGAGATGAAACTTCACAGATGTAAGGAAACCTGCATTTCTCTCAAGATGCTGAAGGTCTGCAAGAAGGTTGTACTGTGGGAGTTATTTATTAATTCACACAATTGCCAGATCCTGATGGCCTTCTCATGTTTGTTTTAAACAATTTCCAGGAAAATTCAATCTCATCTGAGCCCAAGAGCCCTATATCTCTGCTAAAACACTTTCTTTGCACAGGTAAAAGGGTGCCCTTTGCTTCCTTTGTCCCAGGAGACTCAACTATTGGCTTATAGGGGTCATTTGGGGCCAGTTCTCGTCCCTGAAATATTGTCTCTTACATCACAGATCTGAATTGGACTTTACTTTGATAGAAAAGGGCCAAAGAGTTCAGGTATGGAAGTGCATTTTTCACATGTCTGGTCACTGCTACTGACAGACTGGCTCTGTGTACATTAAAAGCAAAAAGAAAAAAAAAAATAAAAAAGAAGGCTATTTGTTAGACAACTTCTTGTAGATCTAAAATGCAGTTACAGTCACAAACAACAAAAAAGTAAATTTTTGGTTTAAGAACTTCCACTGGCTGGACTCCTTAACACTTATATTTATAAAGTTATTTTGATACTAAGCTACCCCCCAATTTGTGCCACACTTAGTCACACTTATCAGTACAGTTTGAGCCATTCCAGACATTTACCAAAGAATCAAATTTTTGTACTCCTCCATTACCACTTACTCTGGAAGCAAAGAGCTACCAAAACACTGGACTGCCTGGGTACAGTATGTCTCCATTGCAACTGCGCACATGTTGAATCTGTCGTAAAGTCATTCTTTGCTGGCAAGAATGGCCCCTGCAGAAATAATTTAGCCAATTCTGTGCCCTGTAGCAGCATTATGTGTATTCCTATCCCAGAAAGATATGTTACTAAATTAATCCCTGACATAGCTAATGAAGGAAGTTCTATAGCCTTTCTGTGCTGCTTTTCCCTGTGCCTAATTTCCTAATGTCTAATTTAAATGTAATTTCCTGCAAATTAACTAGTTATCTATATTTTGGCCTTTTCTCCCTATAGAGATGAAGAAAAATGAGATCTTTTTAATCTTATAACTGTTTTTAAACCTTTTTAAAAAGTATTTCATGCCATCCATTGTTTTCAGGCTTAAGTAAACCTAGTTATTTCAAATTTTTCTCACAGATCGTGTTGTCCAAGCCTCTACATTTTGAAGGCTGAAGATCCTTCCTCAGTTTACTTATGTTTGTTCTTACAGTGGGATGCACAAATCAGGACTAGCTGGGACAACTGACATACGGTCTTCTGTTCATTACCTGAAATAATTCAGTAGGTTTTGGGGTTTTGTATGTTTGGTTGGGATATTTTTTTCTTTTTTTTCTTGCTTTTGTTGTTCTTGTTTTGTGTCATTTGGGTTTGGTTTCCAATTTCCTTTTTCAACAGCATCACACAAATGCTTAATAATCATCTCTTTCTTTTTTGTTTTGACACTAACTGTAGCCTAGCCTAGCCCATATTTTATTTGAAGATGATTGATTCTTCCCCACAGGAGTTCTTTTGCAGTTGTCTCTACTGCATTTCACCTTCTTGATTTCAAGCCACTTCTCAAGATTATTTTGACTTCTAATCCTATATTCACAAGCACTGGTACCCTTCCCAGTCTAGTTTAATCTTACATTTCTTACACAAGTTCTCTCTTCTACCCTCATTATTGTTAATAAAAAGAATGAAAAGAATTATTTCCCTAGCTGAGGTTCCAGTGGGATCCCATCTGAAATATCCCATGTGCTTTATAACTACATTTCAAATAGAATTTTAAACAGTTCTGCACTCCACCTATGCTGACTGCATCTGGACAGTACTTTCCTGAACTTCTTACAAACCTTTTATAATGTCAAAATCTTGCTAAAATCAAGACAAATGCTATTTGTTGCTTTCCACTTAATCAATGTCTGTAACCATCAGAATACCTTTATCAAAACGTTATCATGTCTTTGGAAACATTCTAAGTTTACAGGCAGAAAATGAAGGATATTTTTTAGTAAAGTGCTAGGCTGGGAGGAAAACCCCCTTTCTATTCAAATACAAAGATTGCAGAAGAAAAGGATGGATGTATGGTTTGCTGCAGGTATGTTTTTTTGTTTGCCCAATTTTCTTCTCTTTTTGTTACTCTTGATCTCTGACAACACAAGTCAGAAAATGCCTGTGTTGGATCAAGTGCCTTGCTGTTGTCAGCTCATGTCACCTCAGGGATATTGCTTAGACTCATTTGTCCAGCTTTGCATTTCTTCTTAGAACTTAGTACTTTCATAGAACTTTTTTTCAGGCAACGTGTAAAACCTTATTAGTAGGCTGCAGGCATACACACTCTGCTTTGCAGATGTGGGGCAAAAGCTTGTCTTCAGGGCTGTTTTCAGAAAGCTAAACCAACGTGTTCAGAAAAAGACTTCTTTGGCAAAATGATTTTGTGGGAGCATGAGGGAAAGGTGCATGCTGAATATCTCTTGTGCATTGCGGCTTTGCCCTGCTGTACAGAGCCAGCACAGAGTGTTAGTAAGCCAGATTGCCAAGTTACAAACAAAGCAAGGTCATAGAGACATTTTTGTGTTCAGCTCACTATAGAAGTTCCCATGTGTGTAACCAAATGATGGCAGGGCAGTGAGTACGACCATGACCTCACTGGAGACATACAATGGCTTCTCACAGGCAACAACAAGCTTTGCAAGGTAGGTGAAGGGAGGTAATGGAAAGTGAACTCCAATACAAAAGGATTTAATCAATTTATTTGCAGCAAGGTTTCTTCATGGCGGCTGCTTCTCAGCACTGCAAACCCTGTGGTGTCCAGACTGTGCTAAAAGCTCCCTGTGGACTCTGAGCTAGTTTCTTAAAGCAGGCAGCAGGCTGCCCTTTCTGCAGGCATTTTATCCTGGCTGTGCCTGAAAGGTCACTAAAATGTCATACAACTGATACATTCCTGGCAGCCATAACATCAGATGAATAAAACAAGGCTCATTAGCTGAATCAGTACAGAGGTGTCCATCCTTAGCCTCATACATCAAACACTTTTTTTGACTACTCTATCTTACATTCATCTTACATGTCACTGTTATCACAAGAGGCTCATGTTGTGTTTCACTTTAGTAAAAGCTCACATGAACATACAAACATAATCCAATTCCTTTTGTGGTGGGTTGACCCTGGATGAACATCAGATGTCCACCAAAGCCACTCTGTTGCTCCCCTCAGCTGAACAGGAGAGATAAAACATAACAAAATGTTCATGGGTCCAGATAGACACAGGGAGAGATCACTCAGCAATTACCATCACAGGCAAGGTAGCCTTGAATTAAAGATCCCATCTGAAATATCCCATGTGCTTTATAACTACATTTCAAATAGAATTTTAAACAGTTCTGCACTCCACCTATGCTGACTGCATCTGGACAGTACTTTCCTGAACTTCTTACAAACCTTTTATAATGTCAAAATCTTGCTAAAATCAAGACAAATGCTATTTGTTGCTTTCCACTTAATCAATGTCTGTAACCATCAGAATACCTTTATCAAAACGTTATCATGTCTTTGGAAACATTCTAAGTTTACAGGCAGAAAATGAAGGATATTTTTTAGTGAAGTGCTAGGCTGGGAGGAAAACCCCCTTTCTATTCAAATACAAAGATTGCAGAAGAAAAGGATGGATGTATGGTTTGCTGCAGGTATGTTTTTTTGTTTGCCCAATTTTCTTCTCTTTTTGTTACTCTTGATCTCTGACAACACAAGTCAGAAAATGCCTGTGTAGGATCAAGTGCCTCGCTGTTGTCAGCTCATGTCACCTTAGGGATATTGCTTAGACTCATTTGTCCAGCTTTGCATTTCTTCTGTACTTTCATAGAACTTTTTTTTTCAGGCAACGTGTAAAACCTTATTAGTAGGCTGCAGGCATACACACTCTGCTTTGCAGATGTGGGGCAAAAGCTTGTCTTCAGGGCTGTTTTCAGAAAGCTAAACCAACGTGTTCAGAAAAAGACTTCTTTGAGCAAAATGATTTTGTGGGAGCATGAGGGAAAGGTGCATGCTGAATATCTCTTGTGCATTGCGGCTTTGCCCTGCTGTACAGAGCCAGCACAGAGTGTTAGTAAGCCAGATTGCCAAGTTACAAACAAAGCAAGGTCATAGAGACATTTTTGTGTTCAGCTCACTATAGAAGTTCCCATGTGTGTAACCAAATGATGGCAGGGCAGTGAGTACGACCATGACCTCACTGGAGACATACAATGGCTTCTCACAGGCAACAACAAGCTTTGCAAGGTAGGTGAAGGGAGGTAATAGAAAGTGAACTCCAATACAAAAGGATTTCATCAATTTGTTTGCAGCAAGGTTTCTTCATGGCGGCTGCTTCTCAGCACTGCAAACCCTGTGGTGTCCAGACTGTGCTAAAAGCTCCCTGTGGACTCTG